TCCTACAAACAGACAAGAAATGGCATGCTTGGTCTCGATTTCAGCACCAAACTTTCAGCCTACCTTGCTCAAGGTCACATCACAGCCCGGCAGGTCCATTGGGCAATGATGGATTTTGAGGAAGGGCGGGGCCCTGGCGAAAAGAGAGATGGCTACGGAAAGGGTGAGAATGAAGGAACAGCAGCTGTTCGGTTCGAGTTGTTGTGGAGAGATTACATGCGACTTTGCATGAGGAAGTTTGGATATAAGATGTTCAGTCTCTATGGCATACAAGATCGTGGTGCCAAAGGCCAGAAGGGAGAGTCAGGAACAAAGAAGTGGAAACGACTAGACAGATCAGGTGGCGCAGGCGACGATCCGGTAAAGACGCTCGAAGCGTTCCAGCGGTTCCGTTCAGGGCGCACAGGAGTCGGTCTTATCGACGCATCAAACCGCGAACTCTTCGTCACAGGTTACACATCGAATCGCGCGAGGCAAAACGTCGCTTCTTTCCTCTCGTCTCATCTGGATATCGACTGGAGAATTGGAGCAGAGTGGTATGAATGCTTCCTTGTGGACTACGATCCAGCTAGCAACTGGGGCAACTGGCAATACGTCGCTGGTGTCGGCAACGATCCGCGGCAGGGCCGCGTCTTTAATCCTATCAAACAAGCACTCGACTACGACAAGCATGGCGAATACATCAAGGCATGGGTACCAGAGCTACGGGGTATCAAACTGACACGAACTGTCGGTCCTGGTAAGGAAGAAGTGGACCAACAGCGATTGATGGGCCTTTATCAAGCCTGGAAGCTCAGCGACTGGGAGAAGCAAAATTTGGGTCTAAAGGGTGTAGAATGGGTCGAACAGCCGCTCACTAGGATACAATTTCAAGTTGGTCGGGGGCGTGGTGGGGGCCAAGATGGAAGGTCAAAACGAGGAGGAGGAGGAGGAGGAGGTGGTGGTGGTGGTGGAGGAGGACGTGGAGGCACATCATGGCGGGGGAGAGGCGGTCGCGGTCAGGGATCTGATCGTGGATCTGATCGCAATTCTCCTCCCAAGGGTGCTGGAGCATGGCCCAGGAAAGTAGATGGACCTACCATCGTGAGTAGTGAGCGGACCACGGCGTCATAGGTTGATCACCCATTGTATCATAGCTCGCGTGCGCTCTTGCTTTGCAGCCTCGCATCGTTCCATGCAATTTAGTTCTCTTCAAGCATCACACTACCGCTTGTGAAGTTTCACCCCCATCCAAGGACTTTTGTTATCGCGCCAACGATTGGGAGGTTTCCTGCACTATCTCACGACAGTGAGCGTCATCACTTCTGCTAACCAGCTTGTTGAGATCGCCAAGCCTGATCTTCATCCTCCCGAAGCGCGCCCTCCATGGTTGAAGTCACGAATAAACCATATCAGCCATGATGAAACGATTTCATAGATCTTGACCTTATCGTCGAGCCGCTTCCGCTACCAGTAAAGATGCACGGAATTGCTACCGAGTAATCTCATAAGACGCCTTTTGTTCTTCCCTTGCATTCATTTTCAGATCATGCTGCATTGCTCTCCAAATGAGACCAAGGCAAATGACGAGATTTACGCGCTTTGTAGTCTCATTTGCCTGGGCAGACAGAATTATTTAGAGTTCAAGTGCACGCTTCTGCAATGACAACTAACAACCACCACGGTAGTAAGAACGTACCTCAGTAGTGCTACAATCTCCACATTCAACTGCTGATCTATAGAAGATATACTGACCAAACTACCCAATCGCATCCCTCCATTTTCGAATATCCTCTTTTACCCTTGTATAACATGGTGCACCAGTGAAGCCCAACCCCACTCCAGCGTTTCCACCATGCCACCCGGACGGGAAGATGATGACGCGCATCCCGCGAAACGCCATGACATACCGTTATAGGAATGGACACTCCCTAGCGCCTTGATCCAATATTTGGTGGCCTTGAGCTAGTCTATACTCTCCAGCCGTAACGACATTTTACGGGCGTAGCACCAAAACTACTCGTTGTTTACTGATCAGCTCGATCGTCGAGTTCGGTTTCAGTGGCAAGCAAACAATTTACTCATCGGGAATTTGAGCGGTGAGTTTATCTGACATGATCGTTGCATCGTCTCGTTAGATGGGCTTATCGGGGAGAGGATGTCGTCAGAGTTCTCCGACTTGTGGTACGTGGATGATGACGTGTGGGACTAGGATTGGGTTCAACTTGAAAGGTGGTGGTCTGTGAGGGTTGTGTAGGGCTGACTTTTGAAAAGCTTGTGGGCTTACTCATATGTTGCCTTACTGGCGTTGAGTCGACTTTGTGCGATGCCGAACAGATTAATCACTGCGGGTGGATGTTGTTCGAAGACTGCAAGCGTTCTCATCCAACAGCTTCTATGACACCTTACACGTTTGTCTGACCTAGATGTGAGCAAACTGCTGATCAAAACTACTCTTGCAATTACACATACTTTCCACGTATCAAACCATAATAGATTATACATCTGGACTGTCTGGTGTAGCGTGTTTTTAGATCTGCGATCTAGTATCGGCTACGTTCGGCAATTGTTACTTCCGAGAGGCTTTGTGAGGACAACGTTTCAACCACCCAGTCATGTTTTTCTGGAACGATGTATCTGAGAAGAGTCATGCAAAAACCGAATGACAACACTTAATTCTCGCATCGTGTGCCGTTGCGTCGCCAACGAGCCTAAGTCAACCCCAACTTCCACACTCTCAAACGACGCCAACAAAAATATTTTCGCGAACAAGAGAACTTGCAAGTACGAAATCGTCGAGCTTTCAACGATTAATCATACATAGCTACTTGTTCATTTACTTTTATGATCTGGTTTAGACTGAGCGACAATTAGAGAAACCAGAAGTTCTTTAGTCTATTTACATATCGAGAGAAAGTCGCCGCTACGCCGCAGGAGCTGGAACTAGCTGCATCATACGTTCATAAGCTAAATGATGTATATCTCCTTGCTTGCAAATCCTTCGGACCACCACTGTCGGCTCTCAAGGAACGACTGCTCCCACCACCCGGGAGATGATATCTTGCCCTCCTCGATGCTCCGTAGGCCCATTACACCCACGCGTTGATACACTTCGTTACCGATATGCTCTAACAATATACCTTCAACGTGCCTCTCAAGTTTGTTTAACCCACACCTGATGCCAAAGCGGCGAGAATAGCACATCGCTACCTTCAGCACATGAACAGTCATATCATGTGCATTATGTTCTCGCACATCTGGATATGTTTGCGTAAAGCCTCTAGTGACTGCAGCCTGATTTTCGTTATCTTTTACCGTCTTTCGATCGGCTGACCACAAAACTCGCTTGAAATCTCCATGGACCTTAATTCTTCCGGTAGTCACTGCGCCATAGGGTTGATTAGATCTCAACGGCTGGATCTCCACGTCGAGAAGTGTGCACAAGATCTCAGCGTTTATCAATTCTCCGGTCGATGGCCAATCTAGCCTTCCATCGATAGCGGCCCACGACCAGCTGGGTGCGCGGTACTGAACTGGTCGTTTCGCAATCTGGCCTTTGGATGTCGCCCACAGCAGTTGTTCAAAGAATCGCTCTCTCCAAACACCGGCATAGTATAGACCCCATCTCCCCTCAGTCAGGCTGACGAAGCGCTGAGCTACAGCAGAAATGGCGATCAATTTGTCCGAAGGCTCTGACATTTCACGCATTGCGTACTGCTGGACAATCTCTATCCAACGTAGGATACTGGAGGACGTCCTTGGTGTCTCAAAGTGTCTTTCTTCAAGGGTTTGGAAGGAAGCCCGATTGGAGGCATCAGAATACGAAACCCTACCACCAAAACGCTTACGTACGCCGCAGTACCAATGCAGTTGCCAGCTTCCGTAGGAAAGGACGCGCCTTGAAAGGAGAGTTTCTTGAAGTGTCCATGCACGTGTAACGAGTGGCTCAACATGTCGCTTTGAAGAGGGCATAAGTACAACCCTACTAGGTCCGACATTGTGTGTCTCTATGTGATCCTGAATGGTGACGTAAACTTTTGGTGCGTTGAATCTAGGAGCGAGGAACCCTTCAGTGCATCTTGAGGCTTTGCTGGCGGCGATAGTGACTTGTGCGCATGCAAATATCTCGTGCATTTGGCGGATGAGCGCATCTTTGTCCTCTTTACTGTCTTGTATGATACACATACTGTCAACCCAGAGATACTCGAGCTTGAGTTGTGAGGTCACAAGAATGGCATCATGGATCGTCTGCGGCAGGTCTTTTATCGCTCGTGGGACTATCCCGACGTTACTCTTTACTGTTTTGAAGGGCTGGTCGCCTCCCTAACAGTAGCTCAGAACAGCATACGGTACCGGCTTCGTAACATCCATGCTGACGAGGTGCACCTCGTCTTGAGCACATGCTACACGAAGGAGTCTTGGTGGGACGAAGACATTCTCGACTCTCCTGCACTTCTCATGCTCTAGAATGCAAGAGACTAACCAGTCTTTAGCCGCACTTGTAGATGCTAGCGGTAGATTGGGCGGTGCCGGAAATCTGCCTGATGCTGCCTCGTCCGTGGCGTAGATGTCGAAGTCTTGCGAGGTTGCGGCATGTGGAAAACTTATGGAACTAGTTCCATCTTCTGAGGATGCTTACGAGATTGAATACTTGAGGTTTTCATCTTCATGGCCGTTTGCGATGCTTTGCATCAAGTATTCGAATAGCTTGCATCCATTGGCTGCAGCATCTCGAGCTCGTCCATAAGTGATGTCTAGTGTGCCGTCTTCACGAAAATATAGGTGCCTGTTGAAACTGCGCGTAAGGCTGCGCCACGGCATACTCTCTTACTCCAACCAGCATCGCGTAAAGTGGGGTGCACTGCCCACCCGTGCAGCTAACTACTATGCATATTACCAAACATAGCAACACTTAGTTGTAACGTACAAGTAATAGTGTTTTATCCAAACATAACTCAGAATCATTGCCTTGACGTTGTAACCCATCATACCATTCATAAGTGGTCCGTCAAACGCCCTCTCTATATACTGATAAAGAAACTCTTCTCCCCTTCCTTGGGCTCCACCCAGGCCCTCTTAAGAATCGGATCCGCACAGCTGACCCTGATGCGCTCGACTGTCGCCGGACTAGTAAGATGCAAAATCGATGTTTCGCCAAATTGTGCGCGCGCCGCTTTCAACGCATCGCGAATGGCGAAGAACACAGCGCTTCCCATAAAGAGTGGTGGCTCGCCTAGAACATCAGTTAGCCAATGCAAAAAAAAGAAGAGAAAAGAAGAAAAGGAATAAAACTTACCAACACCCCTACTCCTCTGAATAGTCCTCAGATTCTCCCAATTCACATCCTTCAACAAACTCACATTGAACTCCTGCGGAATATCCCTGAAACCAGGAATCTTATAGTTACCCGGCCCCTTTGTAGCCACCCCACCCGTGCCCCTCAACCACAGCGACTCCTCCGTAGTAAACAGTCCCTGACCTTGCACAAACGCTCCCTCAATCTGCCCATAGTCAATAGCAGGATTAATACTCCTCCCAACATCCATTTTGATATCCGCACGCCGTGTCGTCCAGTCACCAGTCAGCGTATCAATCTCCACCTCGGCAGCCGCAACACCCTGTGTAAAGTAGAAGAACATCTGGCCCGTGTTTTCGCCCCAGACGTATCCGATATCAGGTGTTTTGTAGAATCCTTGCGCAGACAAATTGACACGAGCAAAGTACGCAGCATGAGCCAGATCCTTCATCGTAGCATCTTTGCCCAACTTCTCCTTGAAAGGAGCAAGGCGCTCGTTTAGTTCCAAACACGCGTTGAGAATGGCGTAGCCGTTGAGATCGGACGAGGCCGAGGCGGCGGTTGAGGAGCTGTTTGCCACGGTATTTGTCGCTGTTTCGCTGATGAAGACGTCGGAGAGGGGGACGCCGAGGGTCTCGGCGGCGATTTGCGTCATCTTTGTGTGGAGGCCCTGGCCCATTTCTGTTCCACCGTGGGCGACGAGGATACTGCCGTCGTGGTAGATGTGGACAAGCGCGCCGGCTTGGTTCAGGAAGAGTGCGGTGAAAGAGATGCCGAATTTTGTGGGGATAATGGCGAGACCACGTTTGTTCCACTTGTGCGTTTTGTTCCATTCCTCGATATCCTTGCGTCGTTGTACGTATGCTGATTCCTCTTGGACCTGTTTGTACATGAGGGGAACGTACCAGTCCTTGATTTCCTGGTTGAAATGCGTTGTCATGTTGGTTTCAGGAGAGTACATATTGATCTCTCGTAGCTTCTCCACGGGTATGTTGAGATGGTCTGCAATCTCTTCCATGTACGTCTCGGCAATGAACATACCCTGTGGTCCACCGAAACCTCGGAATGCGGTATTGGAGACTGTGTTTGTTTTCGCAACACGCCCGCGGACGTGGATGTTGGGTATTGAGTAGCAGTTGTCAATGTGGGACAGAGACCGCTCGACAACTGCACCAGAAAGATCCTGGCTCCAACCGCCGTTGCAAAAGACGTCTGCATCAAGGGCTTGAAGCTTACCGTCTTTGTTTACAGCGACCTTCCAGCGAGCGAGGAAGGGATGTCGTTGTCCAGATGTCATAATGTCTTCGTCTCGATTCAACATGCAGCGCACAGGTCGACGAACCTTGTTCGCTGCACACGCCACGATACCAGCAAGCTGGACTGAACGTGTTTCCTTACCACCAAAGCCACCGCCCATGCGCTTGACACGGGTGACAATCTTGTTGGCAGCGACACCGACGACCTTGGATACGTATGCTTGCGTCTCTGCTGGGTTCTGTGTACTGCTGAAAATTTCCATCTCGCCGTCCTCAGGCTTTGGCACTGCTAGACATGCCTGAGTCTCCAAGTAGAAGTGCTCTTGACCGCCCATGCGCGCAACACCAGTGAAGACGTGATCAGCCTCGGCGAACGCCTTTTCCGTGTCTCCTTTCTGGATATAGCGGAAGTGGTTAAAGTAGCTTTCCTTCTCAATGGCTTCTTCAATCGTGAATATAGCCGGAAGGTCTTCGTACTCAATTTTGACAGCTCGCGCAGCTTGCTCTGCATGTTTCGCTGTATCAGCCAGAACCATACCGATCGGCTGGCCAGCAGTAAAGACCTCGTCGAGAGCGAAGAATGTCTCATCACAAGACGGCGCGCCCCACCAGTTGGCTTCCGGAGATGCCAGATCGTTATGATCGACGTACGCAACAACGCCAGGTAGGTCCAGTGCTGGTTCAGCATCGACCGAGAGCAACTTGGCATGCGCTTTTGTCGAGAGTACCAAGCAACCATATAGTTCGTTCCGCTGTAGTGGTATATCGTCCGTATACTGCGCTTCTCCAGTACACTGTTTCATAGCCGCGACGTGGTTCTTCGATTGTCCGACCTCATTCTGGATATAAGCCTCAGCAGCCTTGTCATCCTTCTTGCCCTTGCTGATATCTCTTTCAATCTCGCCAATTGCCTGGGCGTCGACCTCGACTTCCTCAGCGTGCAGCTCAGCCAGAATCTCATGGTAGAACTTGTAAAAGAAGCCGAGCGCGAGTGACTTCCTGTATGTCGCCATACCACCCGGGACACCAAAGCGCAGATCAAAATCTTCTTCAAGCTTGTCCATGACACCCTCGAGCGTCGACAGCTCGGAGAACTTCTTGCCTTGAAGAAACTCCCCTGCTTTCTTCGCATGGATCGTAATAGGTGCCATGCCGCCGTACACGAGATCCACACTCTCGACTGTATGCTCATTGTCCAGTGATATCCTTAAAGCAGCATTCACAATTGCAATGTCGTCGTCTTTCCTCTTGGCCTGCTTGTACGCACGAATGTATTCGCCCTTTTCTTTCGCAACGGGGATCTTCAAACCGGCGATGATGGCATCTGGAGGCAGAGCAGTCTGCCTGTATCCCTTGAAGAACGTCGACATGGGGATCTCAGTCGTCTCCTTGAGGCTCTTCGCTATGAGCGTCGCGTTGGTAGCAACAAACACAGGATTCAGATCCGAGATAGGGCTTGCTGTTGCGAGGTTACCAGCTGGTGTACCCACATTCCTAATCTGGCGCCCCGCGAAATATCGTATCTGCTTGAGGATAGTTGCAAATGGCTGTCCTTGTATCGGTCCATAATGCTCAAGAGCGTCTTTGCATATCTCCTCCAAATCAGTGAGAACAACGTTTCCGCCAATCTCTAGATGATCATCATGGAGCTTGAATTGCCGTAGTTCCGCAATGTCGCCGACGAACACTGAGGCGTTGTAGTTCATGCCTTTGAACTTGATCTCAATTTGTGTCTCGGTCGAGCCACCAATGAGCTTTGCTGACGGATATGCATCCTTGATCTCCAGTAATTGCTGCAATGTCGTCGGCCTGTACCACCTCTTCTTCTTGTTGCCGAATGCTAACGGCTTGAACTCGTGTTTCCGTAGCTGTGGAGGGAATATCAACTCTGTGTCTGGCTTGTACTCGATGAACCCAGGTGGTGTGAATCGCTTGATTGGTTGATCCTCGTCAAGGCTCTTACCGCCGCCGCAGCCTCCGCCGTTCGCACCGTCCTTGTCCATACAGCATCCCCCTCCACCGTTGGCCTTTGCTTTTGCGCAGCCCGACTTCACACTGAAGCTCTGTGCCGCGTCCAGTATCGGTCTATATCCAGTACACCGACAGAGGTTGCCATCGAACGCCTCCTCAACCTCGAGTTCGCTCGGTCCAACGTTGTTGCGAAGGAGAGCATACAGAGACATGACGATGCCTGGTGTGCAGAACCCGCACTGACTGCCATTGCCCTTTGCTATCCTCTCTTGTGCTGGATGTGGTCGCTTTACGTTCCCAATTCCCTCCACAGTTATAACGTGTTTACCGTCTACGCTGACGAGTGGTGCAAGGCATGCATTTACTGAGGCGTGATATATCTTGTTCGTTGTAGGATTGAGCTGCGATACAACCTAACAAGTTTGTCAGTCTCCAAACTTGATCGTTTTGCTGTTTCGGAATTCCGTGTCAAACATACCACAGTACAAGCACCACACCCTCCTTCCGCACATCCCAACTTGGTTCCCGTCAAACCAATTCCCCTCAGGTATTCCAGCAGCGTAACCTCAGGATCCGCGGTGTCCAACACCACCTTGGTGCCATTCAGATAGAATCTGAGGGTATCATCGTAGTCCGCCGTGACCTGGTTCAGCGACTTGGTCGCATCGTTTGACACAGCCGGTTGGGGGGAAATGAGACCAGGCGCCATTTTTGCCACTCCTTGCTGTATAGTCTCTTGGGGAAAAAAAGAAAAACAAGACCCAGAAGTGTCGACACGCCAGAAGAGATGGATAGCAGAGCAAGAGAATAGCGAGAGGGAGAGAACGAGAGAGAAAGGAAACAAATGTCACAAAGGTTGCTTGGTATCACAGGCTTGCCCGTCTGTCCAGCTGTTCAGGGTCCTGTCCGTCCGACGTGCTTGTGGGGAATAAGCAAGCTAGATATGAACAAGCGTGTGTACCGCGGCATGGAGCACATCTATTACATGAGTTAGTTGATCGTTAGAATACCTGGACGAATCAGCGTCGACTTGTTTGTGTCTTATCTTCGCACGCGGTCTAGGTGCAGATGCTCCGCGTGCAGGAGCTCGCCGATGGCCGTAGTCGCGTTCTTGCCCCTCCATAGCCCCACCCCGCAGCGACGCGATAGGCACGTGAGCCGTCAGTTTGCTCCGTCTGGTATGGCGAGGTCCGCTACTCTGAAAAAGAAGGAGTGTGCCGAACAATTCGCTTGGCTGTGTTATGTCAATTAAGATTGTCGCTGTGCTTGTCATCTGAAGCGTCACAGTGGGGGAACAAAAGTGATGTAATTAATTTTCTTGGAAGCCGCTGCGTACAGCAACTATGTTTTTCGAGAACTACTATACAAATGATGATTGAACGAGTCCAACGTTCATAAACGTGACTATTCAAGGCCAATGTCAATGCCCAACGAAAGCAGACGTAGGCCCTCCTCCACACTTTGTAAGTGGCAATCGAGCCCAGGCTTGCGTACGCGAGTATATATGCATGAAGACAATGAACGCTTTTGGTGATGGAAGTCTGCGTACTGTCCACAACGAAGTCTGCACCAATTGCAGCATCATGACAGACATGCAGACATAGACGGCGAGCTTTGCCTGATAACTCTAAGAGAGCAGATGATGTACTGTCGATCAAGACGTAGCAGGCGTAAAGTAAGCACAGCCATCGACTTGTGTGCAGACTTGAGGGCTTGCAGGAGTCATCCATAAAAGAGCATAGATGAAGTAATGATCACCTCACGAACGCAGTGGCAGCGACGACGATATCGGACCGTAGAAAGGGCCATAGGCTATGCCGCAGTAAGCCCAGGCGCAAGAAGAAGAAGAAGCTCAACGGATGAGCACTCAGTGCATAAATATCATGCAACAAGGCGAGTCCGGCTACGCGCAAGTCAAGAATAGATCGAAGATAATCCAGGTCATCGGAGCATCATGCCAGGCGCAGCAAAATTCCAAGCATCGGTCATGCAAACAGGCAGCATTCGGCGAAGTTCAGCAAGATGTGCATCGGTCACGGCAACTATGTGGCGCTTAGGCGCCTGGAGGTCCTTGAGCTCCTTGACCACCCTGTTGTTGCTGTGCGATGGACGCATACCACATTGCAAGGTAGTTCTGGTAGCCGCCATAGACAGCGTATGGGTCAGCAGTGCCAGCAGCACCTGCAGCAGCGGGTGCAGCCGCCTGAGGCTGCTGTGCGGGTGCGGCGGTTTGTCCATATGAAGGGGTCTGCTGATGTGAGTATCCGTTGTCGTTGTTTCCATTGTCACGTCGTCGTGAATTGTTCTTCTCTCGCTGTCTCGTATTAGCAACCTGCAATCATCGCCTACAGCGAACAAACTTACCACTTGATCCACCTTCTCCCAGATAGCTCGCTTGGCATCCTCGATGGCTTGACGGGTTCCGACAAGGCCAATCTCGCGCTCAATGTCAGCGCCGGAAGCTTGAGACACGTTAATCTTGCAACCAGTATCAGACTGCATTGATTTGATGGTTTCACCGCCTATGGATTGTTAATATGTCAACCTCAACATGTCCGAAGTAGTGTTGTTACCTTTGCCAATAATCATGCCAACAGCATCAGAGGGAACCTGAATACTGTCGTTGATTTTGCCGGCTCCGGCACCGCCAGCAGCACCTCCACCGTACGGATCGAAATTGTCACGCTTGTTGTTGAATTGTTGTTGTGGCGCTGATTGTGCGGCGCCGCCGCCTTCCATTTGCTTAGTGTCACTGTCGACAATCTCCATGATGAGTTCCTTGGCATGGGCAGCAGCAGTAGGACTTCCGATGAGGTTCACAGGTCGCAGACCATTCACGCTCTTGTTTTCACCAACAATGTTGACGTGGCAGCCACTGCGCTCTTGTAGATCACGGATAGTCTCACCACCACGACCAATGATGAGACCAACAGTACGATCAGGCACCATGATTTGCGAAGATTGTTCACCCTCTCTAAGGGCGGGCTGTTGCTGACCAACCATTTTGGTAGCAGCAGCTCGTGCATTGCGGCCAGTCTCACGAGCGGGATTGCCGCCATTCTCTTCGATGATACGGTTGATCTCGCGTTTAGCACTGATACGAGCACCCGGGCTACCAGTGATACGACATTCGCGTTGAGGTCCAGACTCGGGGCCGTTGATAAATTGAATGCGCGTCTGTGATTCTTGTTCAATGCGGCGGAGACTCTCACCTTGACGCCCTATGACCAGGCCAACCAAAGAAGAGTCAATGAGAATCACCTCAGAGTTGTCATTAGCAGGGGGCGAACGCGCTTGCCCGTACTGCTGCGAAGGAGAGAAGGTGTCACGCCTAGGAGGAGAGCGGTCACGTTCACGTCCATAGGCACCCCGACGTTCATCACGGCGCTCATCGCGGTATGGATTGTAGCTTTCACGCACGGGTTCGCGGCGCGCGGGAGATCGCGAACGCGACCGCGAACGTCGGTAGGGCTGGCGTCCGCTTAATCGCGGGTCTTCTTGATAAGCTGGAGCTGTGTAAGTTTGCGCTGGGACACCATAACCAGACCAAGGCTCAGCAATACCTGGACGCGCTTGTTCGTGTGCAAGGCCCTTTTGGGCCGCAAAGCCGCGTGCCTTTGCCAGCGCATCCTGGATGCTGACTGAGCCAGAGCTCACGGGCTTGATAGCGCTAAGGTCAAGACTGCCAGTGTGGGTAGGTGGGGGGAAGTTGTATCCGGGCATAGCGGGCGGAGTGGCAGTAGGCATTGCGCCGGGGAAGCCTGGCGGGAGTCCTTGGGGAGGGGGATGTTGCGCCTGTGGAGGCTGCTGGGGCGTCTGAGAGGGGGTAGTCGACGGGCGTCCGGCAGCTAGGAGAGAAGTTAGTACAGTGCTTGTCATGCTGGTAAAAGTCTGCACGACATACCAAGCGCTGCCAGAATGGCGTTGAGGTCAGGAGGGGCGGCCATCGCAGGTGCGCAAGACCCAGTAGCTAGTGTCAAGTATGAATTAGGACAGGAGTTTCGATGGGCGACAATGAGGCGAGCAAGCCGTCGTTGGGTTGAATGCGCGGTTGTTGTGAGTGTGTCGAATGGTGAGAGATCTCTGTCGCGGCGAAGAAGGAAAGAGGAGTCGAGCGCAGCTTTCGTACGCACAGACCCCTAGCGTGCTATTAGCCGAACCGTGGCTGGTTCGGGTTTGCTTTCCAAGCTGCTCTACAGAGCACTGCTGGAAATCACATGCTCAGCTTGAATGTAAATTATTCGGATTGGGCTATATAATCCAACATACGCGCGCACACCTGGAAACGCCTTGAAGAAACTTGACCAAGAACGACCAGAAAATCGACAGAGCACTATGCCAAATCCCTCAACAGAATTTATAAGTGAAGACGGGTATAAAGTTTATGAAACCATCCACCAGGCACCAACAAGAATAGACACCAGGACCAAGATGGTCAAGATACTAGCACCAGCCTTGTCGCCAGTGGTGACAGTATCGAACTTGATGGGTGTATCAGATGAAGTGTCACCGGCGTCAGGATTGCTCTTGGAGATACCACCCTTTTCCGCCGTCGCAGGACCGCTGACTGACGGATACAGCAGCGATTGTACAACCTCCAGAGCCGCCATCTGTTCACCAACGCCAAAGCTGCCGTCGTTGACACCGTTGGTGGTCCACTTGAGCCCACACGAAGTCTGGTTAGCACCTCCGGTGCACTGCTTAGCAGCAGCCTGAGCCGATGTCTGAAGATAAGGATTGATTTGGTCACTGGTCCAAGGTGCAACGCTAGCTGTGTATGCCATGGAACGTGCAAGGTAAGCCTTGAAAGAGCGCTGGTCCACATCGCACTTGCCGTTGTTTTCACAGGCGACTTCGGACATGACCTTGTTTACAAAGAAAACGCTCACTCCGTCGATGATGCCCTGGACTCTGGTCTTCCACTTGTCGTTTTGTGTCACGTTCCACATGGCGGCAGCACCGGCCATGTGGATACCAGCATTGTATGTCCACTGGATGTGATTAATGGTGGAACAATTCTGCGTGTCGTCGGTTCCGTCGTAGTAGTGGTAGTCCTGGCTCATGAGTCCTACGGCAAGCTCCCAGTCCCAAGCCTTCTCAGCCCAGTCGGCGTATGTGTCGTTACCAAGGTATTTGTATAGTCGCGAGGCGATGTTGAAGAAGCAACCGTTGGAAATGGTGTTTTTGTAGTTGTATCCGTTGTTGAAGCTGAAAATCTGCCATCTCAGTCCTCCACCGCAAGTAGTCAAGTCCCAGCGTTTGTATTGGGTGTTGAAGACGGCCTGTGCAAGGGACAGCCAAGAAGGCTTGCCGTCGGGAAGATCGGGGAACTTGTTCTCCGCAGCGGCCATGGCGGCCATTCCCCAGAAAGCCTGGTCATCGTTTCCGAGCGTCTTGGTCTGATTGTCAGGCATGAAAGCTTGGTTTGGTCCCATCTGAGCCTCTAGAGCCTGTGTACTGATCTTGTTGTACGTATCATCTCCAGTGTAATACCAATAGTCAATGAGGGCATTAAACATGGCGCCACATTCCCACCAGTAGTACGGGTCTGGAAGGTTGCCTGGTGTGTCGCCTACATTGTCACCGGTATAGTACGACCGCAGGTTTGCAGAAATTGCCTTGGCGGCTTGCTTGATGGAGTCTGTAGATGTCAATACATGTATTCCGGCTATATCTTGCATTCGAATGTCCCACCTGGCGAGTTGATGTCCAGTTCAACGGCGCCTACGCTTGTGAATAGTAGATTCGAGGCGCCAAGAGCGCCGATGACAGAGGTGAACTTCATGTTGCAGACAGAGTAGGTCGGCTCGGCTCTAGGCGGTCGCAGCCAAGGTCCAGCGCCAGGCTTGGATACACTCTGCGCGCGTCGCGAAAGGGAGTAGTGTTGGAGTGATCAAGCTTTCAGGCAAGAGAATTGTCTTGGCTCGAACGTGGGGGTACCGTAGGGAGTGTCGGGTTGATTGGCGTAGTATGGAACGAGTGACGGGTTTCAGGGGTAGGCGCAGGGCACAATGGTCGGCGGTAAACTAGAGGTGAATGGCGATTAGGAACGGGTTCAGCGAGTGTGTTGGAAAGAGAAAGGAAACTGGAAACGGACACAGGAAGCTGGCAGTGGAGCAAGCGTTGCGCGAACTCCTGAGCGGCGAATGGGTAGCAGACCCCGAGATTCAAGACATTGGACACGCGTCTTGGCGGCGATCAGACCCACTTGCCAGGTGCAAACGGCGCCTGGCCTACTTGACACCTGGGGGGATGTCATTGATAGGCTAGCGAGACAGGTACAATCTATCGACGACAATGCACGATTCTTCTGTTGCATAAAGTGTCTCGGCCCACGCAGACGCTCTTCACCTCTGCTCGTGGTCTCCACCTCTGCTCGTTGCGCGAACAAAACGAACAAGAAGAAGAACAAGGCATGCGGATGTCCGGCCGGGCAATGACGGTGATGACGAAGCTCTGCTGGAGGCGCGCAAGCTACCTTTAGTGCACTGGACATGTTGTTTAAAGCCGGACCGTCTCTCTTGACGTCGTAACAGGCGTATTGTCGTGTTGCCACGCCAGCTGCGGAAAGGTAGACAATAAGATTAGCCTCGTAATAGCGAGGCTGAGGCAAAAAGGCGTCCCACGTTCATTTTGAACGACGACGACGACGGCAAGGAAAGTGGCAGAAGGCGTATTGTTGTCTACTCGAGCCGCTGTGCAGACGGACCGATGGCGGATCGTGCAGCACCTGCTGCTTCATGAAAAGACATTCGTAATCGTGAGGCTGGTGTTGATCACGTGCTGTAGGCCAGAAGCAGCTACGGCAGTGTCGCATCAAGTTGAACAGAATGCCGTCACAGCCGTTAATACACAACCGTTGCTATTGAGCTTGATGAAGAATAATCACAGCGACTTGATGCCAATCACAGATTAATATTCCGTGTTGTTGCGCCAGGTTTCACGCAAACATCAGCCTCACTGCTCAAACGGAGCTGACACATTGCGACGCTCGTTCGCCATCCGGGCTGAGCGGACTCTTGGTCTTGCTCTGGGCAACCACACCATCATCTCCATCCTCCAGACACCACCTTCACCACCCACACCTGCCCATCACCACCACCACCCTTTGAAGCCTACGCAAGTCGCACGCTACGAGCATTATCCAGCACATCTCATCTCCAAATATGTCGAGCCAGGACCCCCCATATGACCCCTACATCCCCAGCGGCGGCGCCGGCGGACAGCAGGGCGGCCAGAATGGCAACCACCGCACAGCTGCGCTCCAAGCGGTATGTTGTTACTCTCTATAAGTCAGAGTGAAGCGCTACGTCGTTTGTCGCATTCGCATCTTCATTAGGCAGCCGCGCGTTAGAGATGCGGTGGCTGGTGGAGAGCTTGCCTCGATGATGCGAAGACGACCAGAGTGCTTCTCAACCTCTCTCTGCCTCGTCAGTAGCTGCGCAAAGTTGCAGTTCTGAGCAGCGGAAGACATGCGACCTCATATACTGACTCGCACTAGGAAATCGACAGCACCGTTGGCATCATGCGGGACAACATCAACAAGGTCTCTGAGCGAGGAGCCCGCCTCGACTCGCTACAAGACAAGACGGACAACCTTGCCGTATCCGCCCAAGGCTTCCGAAGGGGCGCCAACCGCGTGCGCAAGCAGATGTGGTGGAAGGACATGAAGATGCGCATGTGCCTGATTGTTGGCATCATCATCCTGCTCATCGTCATTATTGTCCCTTCTGGTGAGTTTGTCGAGCAGCTTGTACTCTTGTTCGTGTTGCTAACATGGACCAGTCGTTGCCACGCAAAAGAACTAAACCACCCACACGAGATACCACGAATCATACACATTAATAATTGCGCGGATGGGGGGAGGTTGTCAAGCCATTGGGGAAGGGGACGAATGGCTACGAGCTGCACTACGATCAACGACATGGGTCACTGTAGGATGTGTCTTGAGCATTCCAGTCTTTTTTTGCATTCCGACGGTCGTGCTGCAATCACGGAAAGCCCTTTTGCATGGAACGCTCCGCCACTGTTACGATATACCACGAGAGCCCAAGTTCCAAGCATGGTCGTCAGACGAGCAAACGGAGTTATACACTGTGGGTTGCTGTCTATAGTTCATTGCAATTGCACCTTATGCCTCGATTGACTAGCCCTGACGTGAATGCATTAGTTCTTTTTTGTGAATCGTCTTATCAGATGCTTTGTCGAGTGGGTACTAATGGAGTGCTACTGCACTCTAGTGTCCACCGTGTTGAAGGTGGAGTGGTACGATTAACCTCGGAAAGGCCCGTTTGCGATGGATGACTGAAAATTTGAGTCGAGGGCAAGCCTAATGCGCACCGTGTACGAGGCACGGCATGCATGAATGAGAACTGAAAAGTCTGATCTGCAGCTTGCTATTCTGCATGCAGCAGTGGCCATGGACGGTGGTGGCGCTAGGATAACTCCAGCTGCCAGTACCCTGTCATCTGGGGAAGCTGCGATAACGGCGGAGCGAATTTTGTTGCTTCGGCGTCATACCGAAGCATCTTCTTCAAGGTCCCCTCGGCTCCACAGTTTAGTCACCGTTGAATTCGCGTTGGATCAAAGTCGCCCAGGGCCCGAGTAGCAAGCAACTGCTTCTTGGGAGCGACAGAGTCACCATGCAGAGCATTGTACGAGCCGGCCGTGTGGCTGCTGCGCGATCCTCACACCGCGCCCTCGCATCGCAGACTCCTCGAGCCCTCTCCCGCGCCCTCGTTGCTACCACGACGCCGAGCAGCCGCCTGTACACAACGTCCAAGGATGGCAGGAACTCGTCCATCTACGCCGCCTTCCTCAACCTGCTGGCCAGCTCCAGCTCCCGCCGCGAAGTCGACCAGTACCTGGGCCAATTCCGCTCCGTCTCGCCGCACCAGTTCGCCGTCGTCAAGGTCGGAGGCGCCATTCTCACTGACCATCTCGAGGAACTATGCTTTGCCCTCCAGCAGCTCCACGCCATCGGCCTGTACCCCATCATCGTCCACGGCGCCGGCCCCCAGATGAACCAGCTGCTCCTCGACTCGGGCGTCGAGCCCGACTTCATCGACGGCATTCGCGTCACGGACAAGAAGACGCTGGGCATTGCACGCAAGCTGTTCCTCGAGGCAAACATGGACCTGGTCATGACGCTCAAGAGGGACTGGGGCGTGCCCGCCCGCCCCATTACCGCTGGCGCCCTGCAGGCCGACTACCTGGACAAGGACAAGTGGAAGTACGTCGGCAACATCACAAACGTCAACAAGAGGCAGATCATGGATGCCCTCGAGAACAAGGAACTGCCCATCCTGTGCTCCATGGGCGAGACCCTGGACGGCCAGATTCTCAACATCAACGCCGACGTAGCTGCCGCTGCTCTGGCCCGCGAGTTCCAGCCTCTCAAGGTCATCTACCTTTCGGAGAAGGGAGGACTGTTCAATGCCGAGTCTAAGCTCATTCCCCACATCAACTTGGAGGGCGAGTACGACACCTACATGAAGCAGTCCTGGGTGAGGTACGGCACAAAGCTCAAGATTGTAGAGGCCAAGAAGCTCCTCGACGGCCTCCCGCGCACCTCGAGTGTGGCCATCACACACCCCTCGAACCTTGGAAAGGAACTCTTCACCCACACCGGAAGTGGTACCCTCATCCGGAACGGTGGCAGCGTCAAGGAGACCAGCACATTTGAAGATTTGGACGTATCTGCCTTGTCACAGGCAATCATGAAGAGCCGTGCTGTTGAGGCCAGCGACGCCGTCAACAAGTACATCCAAAACCTGAAGAACCGACCATTCGAGGTATTCCACGACGATTCCATGGGCGTCGTTGCCGTCGTATACCCGCCCACTGCAGAGGGTGAGTTTGCACAGCTCTCGCATTTCAGCATGACCAAGGATGCTTTCTTGAACAACCTGAACGATCTCGTCTTCCAGCGCATGAAGCAAAAGTACCCCAAGATGTACTGGATCGTAGACGACCAACCACAAAACTACGTCAAGTGGCATCTGGAGAAGACCGATGGTTTCCTCCGTCGCGAGAAGGAAGTCTTTTGCTGGTGGGGCGCGGCTGAGTCTTCGGAGATCTTCGGGCTGCTTGAGAACTACCAGAAGCAGGGTCGCAGCATGTTGAAGGACAGCCTGGATGCTCAGTTCAGACGAGCGGCCGACTTTGTGGCCAGCCTAAAGCAGGGTCAGCAAACACGTGGCTACGCGACCATGGCCCGTCAACCTGCTAGGCCTCAACTTGGACAGAACAGGACTATCCCTGCGTCGACACGAGGCTTCGCTACCACAGCATCACGCTCAATGGACACAACTAACCCCAACCCGCCATACGGTATCAAGCACAAGCACAGGGACTACCCCGCCAAGGTTGCGTTGATTGGTGCACGAGGATACACAGGGCAGGCTCTTATTGAGCTGCTTAACAAGCACCCCAACATGGACCTGCGCCATGTATCATCACGTGAACTCAATGGCAAGAAGCTCGAAGGTTACACCAAGCGACAAATCACCTACGAGAACCTGTCAGCCGAGGATGTCGAGAAGATGGCCGAGAACAACGAAGTCGACTGCTGGGTCATGGCCCTTCCCAATGGCGTATGCAAGCCCTTTGTTGACGCCATCAACAAAAGTGGCAAAGACACTGTCATCGTGGATCTGAGCGCTGACTACCGCTTCGACGAGACATGGACCTACGGCCTACCGGAGCTGATTGATCGCTCCAAGATTTCTGACGCTACACGCATCGCAAACCCGGGTTGCTACGCTACTGCTGCTCAACTCGGCATTGCGCCTCTGCTTGAGTTCATCGGTGGTCAGCCCACTGTCTTTGGTGTCTCGGGTTACTCTGGCGCAGGCACAAAGCCTAGCCCAAAGAACGATGTGAAGAACCTCGAGAACAACCTCATTCCGTACAGTTTGACGGATCATATCCACGAGAAGGAAATTTCAAAGCAGCTAGGTACTGAGGTTGCGTTTATTCCTCATGTTGCTGTTTGGTTCCAGGGTATTCACGTAAGTATAACCAGATACACTTACCAAAGTGTTTTATTTTTATTTGGGTATGACTGCGTTACTAACATCTGACACTAGCACACCATCTCCATCCCCCTCAACCGTACAATGACGTCCCGCGATATCCGCAACATCTACCAAGACCGCTACGCCGGTGAGAAGCTTGTCAAGATCGTGGGCGAGTCCCCACTTGTTAAGAACATCTCTGGCAAGCACGGCGTTGAGATTGGTGGTTTCGCCGTCCACAGCTCCGGCAAGCGCGTCGTTGTCAATGCTACTATTGATAATCTGCTCAAGGGCGCTGCTACACAGTGCCTGCAGAACATGAACTTGGCACTGGGTTACGGTGAATACGACGGCATTCCATACTAGGGTTAGGAGTTTTCTCGGGAGCAGTGGGTGTATGCATGGGGTAAGGGGAGTGGAATGGGGTTGAAGCATCATAGTTTCTTTAAAGAGGAAAAATTAAAGGGACTATTGGCGCACTAGTTCATTGTATTAGACAGGCTTCTTGTCGTTGAACTTGTAGATATATCCAATTACAAACGTTCAAAACTGGCCTGTTCACTTCATGTTTGTAGATGAAGACGTAGTAACTTTGCAAGGAAATTGTGTCCGCTACGTCAAACCATATCAAGACTACATCTGATCATCGTACGCGCTAGAGCGTGAAGAATTCGAGATAATTCTCATAGGATCCACCGAAGTGTAAGACATGTTTCCCCTTGTTCATATTGATTGGCTCCGGCGATTGAGGCAGAGCACGCAACCCCATTTCCCTTCCACTAATCTTCAAAACAAGCTGTTCCCCAGCCTCAAACACAATGCCTGTAGGCCACAGCTGGACACGCAGCCTGACCACCTCTCCTGGCTTTACTTTTTCCTCGCCTTGATGTGAAAGCGTTTCCCACGTCCTTGCCTGAAGTGCCCTGTGGACATGGCGTTTGGAAGCGCGTAGCATACCGTTGGGACCAAGATAACGCCAGATTCTGTTTTGCGTCATGGTTTCGACGGTGGATGCTGGACTGCTGTTGCTGCTACTGGGAGGGACGGGCATGTTGAGATGCGATAAAAGGGCTCCAGATGCATCTGCTTTGAAGATGTGAGTGTGAACATCTAGATCGTCATGACTGGGTGCTGCAATATCGATGACCAGAGTGGACGGACCGATGAGTACGGTTTTGGTTGAGAAAGCATAGGTAAAGGATATTTCGTCTGATGAGTCGGCTTGGTACTCTAATAAAGCCTCTTCTTGCAGCTGTTGCTGCTTGTTGTGTGTCAGTTTGCCAGGAGAGCTGAGATGCAATTTCTGTTTTCTCGTGACGTCTGGAAGATGCCAGGGTAGATCAGCGAATTCCTGATCCAATAATGCTGGCTTGGAAAAGTTCAACAGTGCCATTCGCACGGGTGCTGTCTGAGGCCATTCATTGGCAATGTCTTTGAGATGGAAATCGAAGAATCGGGCTAGATCGTTGGTACGGGTTTGACTGTAGAGATCGTACCATTCTTGCGACGCGTGGAGAGTGAGCCTAGATGTTTGCAATGAGCAAGTCTCTACAACACGCATATAGACGAGAAATGAGGAGGAAATGGCGCACCATTTGTTCTGATGTGGAATCTCCTCGAACGCTCGCAAGGAGCCGATGCCATGGATGGGCGATGAGTAGCTTGCTCCGATATAGGCCGGTACCTTGATCTTAGTCATATCCACACGCTTATCGTGGAGGTAGTGCTCAAGTCCAGCATCCGTACTCAACATCGCAACGTAGTCTTCCACTTTGTTCTTTCCTGGAAGGATAGCAGCGATGGATTCGCAAAACGCCGTATTGGGAATTCCTCCACGTATAGTGTCCTCGCGAACGGAGTCTGATAAGCCCTCCAGCGGCGCGATACACGTTAAATGCAGGGGTTGCTCAGCAGCAATAAAGTACTGAGAAATTGCGAGCCATGAGTTTCCAGCCATTGCCATTTTTCCAGAACACCAGGGCAACTTGGCTAGCTCTTCGATTGCGTCATGGCCGTCTTGACCTTCCTGTGTACCCCAGAAGTGGATGTTTCCTTCGGAATTATTCACGCCTCGCGGATCGACGTTGACGATTGCATAGCCACGGGGAACCCATTCTGCGGGGTCGAGTCTATGATAGTCATCCGTGAGTACTACGTGTGCTCTCCTTACTGTTTTCGGTTCACCACTCACCCTTCAAAGTCCTCATAGCCAGAGAGTTGAGTCTCTGGAATACCTGCTCGCAGTGGCGTGGAGTTAATGTTGAGCATACCCGTCCCAGTCTTGCCATAAGGCCCCCACATGACGATGGCAGGAACCTTCTGATCGGTTCTGGGACGAAAGATATCTGCATATATCTTGGTCCCGTCCCTGAGGATAAGGACTTGGTCCTGATCGAAAATGGTGGCCGTTGTCAGCGGGCGGCAGGTAGGTTGTTTTCTGTGACCGGCTGAAAGTTCGTTCGTCTTTGGACTCAGTGGAGGAATGTTGTGGCTGAAGGCATCACGGAATTTGATATCCACCGGGCTAGTGCTGGAGGAAACCATAGTAACGGAATAACGATAGTAGGCGACAAAGGCTTGATGATGGTTTTTTTGTTTCAAGTTTGGCCCGATGATGTATTTGGGGTTTGAATGTCATGCGCGACCGCGCTATTTGTGCGGGCCATCGTTAGAGTACTTGACAACTTCCCAATCCCGAGTTCTTTCGCTGGAGATACCGTGTCTAACACCCGACGTGAGGGGGGAAGTAAGAACACGACTTTTCACTAGGGAGAAAAGCACTAAGAAGAGAGTGTAGTTCTCCCGGCATGAGTGTTCGTCCGAACCCGTTGTTCGAACGTTCGTACAACCACCTTCGGCCGAAGACTTCATGTTTAGTGAGTGGGGATCTTGAAAGGGCGAAACCGTTGGAAGGATTCTGTCCAATGGTTCTAGGGCCGGGGTTCCTTAATGGTGTGCATACGTCGTTGGGACGCGTGCTGCGGGCAGTGCAGACCGACATGTTGGCAACTCATCTCAACTTCATACGTTTAAAACAGTAGCCACAGGACGATACTCCCCCAAAGACACCACTACATCAGCTAATCAACACCCTTATCTGTACTTCACTCTTACCCACGTTGCTCGCATCCGCAGAGCAAACTATACCATATTACATCATGACCCTGACTGCCAACAAAGCCCTGTATGTCAACGAGGACGGAGAGATCCAGGTTCGGAACGACATCAACCACGAAGAGATAGCAGCCGGCGAATTGGTTATCGAAGTGCACTACTCTGGTATCAATCCAGCAGATAGCAAACATGCAGAGCTTGGCATTCGTTCGACGGTCATCGGGTACGATTTCTCTGGAATTGTCTTGTCAGCACCTACTGGATCGCGTTTCAGAAAGGGAAGTATCGTAGCAGGATACACGCCCTCGGGTATCGGAAGAGCATTGAAGTATGGATCACATCAAAGCCGCCTCGCGTGTCCCAACGACATGGTATTCGAAGTACCTCACAACCTCCCAGAGACCCATGCAGCAGCTCTGACAACAGTGACGATGACAGCTGCAGACGCGGTCTTCAACCTGTTCCAATTTCCACTGCCTACCGCTCCCGCCGCCTACACCCGCCCTGTCCTGGTTTGGGGCGCCTCGTCTAGCGTTGGCTTTAGCACTGTTCAGTTTCTGTGTGCCAGTGGCTGTCAGAACATCATAGTGACTGCTTCGCCAGCCCGTCATGGGCTGCTGAAGAGTGTTGGGGCCGCACTGTGTTTCGACTACGCCTCATCAACAGTTGTATCCGATATCGCCACCGCGGTGGAAGCTCTGGACCAAGGACCGATCTCTCATGCTCTCGATGCTGTGGGCACTCCGTCTACAGCGCACTTAGTCGTACATAGCGTGAGGAGCTCAGCAGCAGTTCTAGCCTCTGTGACCAAGTTCGATGATGGGTTTCGGATGCCGTTGGCGTACACGAAAGATGGCTGGCGCATCCAGCCGCCTGGTGTTCCTCATGTCATCGATCTGCCTTCCAGGCCAGAAGATCATTGGCATGCTTGGAAAGCGTTGCAATGGGCGGTGGACAACTATGGTAGTCACTTCGGACTTCCAAATGTGGAAGTATTTCGAGGCACGGCCGAGGAGGCGTTACAGGAAGTCATCAAGATTGGCGGATTTGGAAGAGGCTTCGGTAAATTAGTCATTGAACAGCCTTTGCATTAAGGCTAGTTGATATTAGAGTAGAGGTTGCGGTGATCTGTACAGGGTCCTGGCTATGATATTGCGGAGAGAGCAGACGGTCGTCGTGTATGTTAGTATATTAGCGCTCACATCTGCCTGTCTAATACAAAACACTCCTCGAACGGGCTAACTCTGCTCTGTCTAACGCTATCGTGATTAGATCGTCTTACAAAAGCAACGTTAGTACTACAAGATACGAAGTGTCAGCATACATGTATTTAACAAACAATAGCACATGCAGGCGTACAGCAGGATCGCCACAGCAATGGCTAAAGCTAAGTCTTGATCAAAGGATGCATTTCCTATGTCGAAACCCCCTTGCTGCCAAAACATCCAAACTGTCATTTTCACTTTCTACAGGGGTGACCCCTCATATGCACGATCATGCGCATAGTATCGGGATTTTCGCCTCGATAGGCGACCCATTGTCCTCCCTTACCGATGAGTAACGTGCGGTGTTGCGTTTGGATGTGTCATGCACTAACAGTCGGCTTTTGAGCCGGCCAATCGCGTGCTGCTGGTATCATGGGAGACGCCTTGTTCGGGTATAAAGTAGAGATCTCGATGCTGGAAGTGATTGACTAAGGCTGATGAACAAGCTAGCTTTAGTATACTAACCTCGTATGAGTGCAGGCTGAAGTCGCTGACAGAGATCTAAGTAAAATACGCTGCTCTATCGTCAGAGGACGTGGTGGAAGACATCAGTGTAACAGGTGTCTGAGAGGACGAGAGAAAACGGCATAGATTTTCTGGAGTGGGTACAGTCGACCCTCGCGCCTGAAGTCCTGATTCCATGTCGGTAGATTTGCTGACTCGTTCCTGGTTAGGATCGGTCGACAGAAGCAATTTCAAAAACCGGCATTCATATGCGAGCCAGTCTTATGTGAGTTTATGGATAATTCTTCCTCCATATGTGATCGAACTGACCTTACTTGTGGAGCTCATTTATCGCGGTAATCGCGGGCGTAGGTCGCCGAGCATGTATGAGTATCGGTAGGGATTCGCATTGTCCGAGGGATGTGAGCGTCGTTGGTTTGACACCTCAAATCAAGCCACTCTTTCGACTGTGGCTATAACACAACATTAGTATAGCTCTGCAGGCGACGAATCTGTAAAACTCAAGGCGTCCAGGCGGGATAATTCTATTTGTTCAATCATATATTAGACCATCCTTCTCCGTGCCGCACCTTCTCGAAGGCGCATCTGGGACCCACCACTAAGGTTCAGCCGTGAGATGGGGCGCTCCTTGACCTCGGAACACGGTTTGAACAATAGAATACCACGATAAGCGCCAGAACGTAGTGCGTGACGGCCCGCAATCCAGCGGTGTGGGTGATGAGAGAGAGAGCAGCATGGAACGTGGGGACGGCAAAAGAGAGGAAGGTCGTACGTACAACGAGTATGATTTACCGTCTTCGCTTCCTGTTGCGGCTAAGCGCGAACCACTGATCGATAGGTCGTCCCCTTATCTCCCACGCTTCAAGTAAGGATCCCACTCGCAATTACTACACACTGTATCAGCAAGAAACAAAGCATCAAGTCTAACGGTGTGTCGGTATTAACAAGCATAAGAAGACAACAACAGCAACGAACCAATGTGTTGGGGGTAGCAAGTAGCACACACGCACACACACACACACACACCGCACGCGCGAACCAACACTCCGGGACGTAGGTCACGCCCGCGTCCTCAGCCGCACGGACACGCGCTGCAGCCCTCCTTTCTTCGACCTATGCCGTCATTGAAGTAAAGCCTTTCTCGTAAAACCGCCGTGTAAAAGAAGGGATATGTTACGCCACGCGGTAAGGGTGGGAAATGTAAGATGGGGGTGAGGGAGCGGCCTGTGCAACATGAAGCTGCGCTCTAACGTCTTTGCTTTTTCCCCTCGTCTCGATTCAAACGATATTTCAAAATGATGGTGTCCACGTTGAATTTCGATGTCAAGGGGTACGTTGGCCACTTGTTCCTCCTCTTCTTTTTCTCTTCTCCTCCCCTCTCCTCTTGTTGGCGCACTCGTCCCTAAGTTCGTCTCTTGTATCGTCGGCGCACTTTCTTCTTCTTCGCCAAGTACGTTCGTTGTTCGAAGTCGTTGCGCTAGCTCAGCCTTGAGGTTTGCATCGTCGATATCGGGTAGCAATTTCCAGGCTTGAGGCTGCTCTCTGGCCAAGCTACAAAGACCGTAAGAGGACGCGATAAGCAACTTGAAGGCCGGATCCGACAGAAACTCGCTCGCTGGGATGTTTCCGCAAGATTGTTAAGAGGTGGTGTTGAGACTATTCACGATTGCAGTAGAAGGCTATACAAGAAGAGCTCATCGCTGGTCCAAAGAGCATCACAATACAACCCGAAACCTCACATCGACCGAGCCTAGAGATCTAGCTCAACCGACCTGAGCAAAAAGTATATTGCACTGATTCGAGTCGTCCCGCTCTTCGCACCGCTCACTCAGCGAATCTTCTACGCTTAATACGATCGCAGCCTCACTGCCCTGAACATGTGCTACATCGTCTACACCATACACGTGTGCAACCATTGGATACCCCAACCACAACCCAACAACGGCCCAATACTACGCATATGCGAAGAAGCAGAAAAGCTACGACTCGGACACCCCTGCCCAGAAACACAAAGAGAGCACAAAGTCATGAACAGAAGTCAAGGCATGTGTACAGGCTGCATGTGGAAGAAAGTCAGCAAGTAGAGTAACTCGATCCCATTGCAATCGGCTCGTAACGAAACGAACGGGAGCACAAGAAGTCAGCAAGTAAGCCGCACCATGGATCGATAAACGTTGTACGACAAATAAAAGCGGAGACTTTTTGTGGAGGTTAACAAGACAAAGACAAAGAGCCGCGGTTGAAATAACGGCAGGGTTGTGGAAAGATGTGGGGATGGGATATGGGAAAAGAACAGGATTGATGGGTGGGGAAGGGCCGAATCATTCCACTTTTCTTGGCTGGTTAACTTCTGAGAGGATGAGGGCTGAGGGAGATGACGCTTCATTCTTGAGTTTGTGCGTGGGACAAGCTACCGCCGAAACAAGGCCGGAGTGAACGCCCACCTTCCCAACAGGAACCGGTTGCGAGGCTGCGAGAGCAAACACACGTGCATTAAGCTCCGACGCATGCGCGATACGGCCCGGGTCTCGGTCCGATCATGTCAGGACTGCCATTTCTCTGGCAAGCTTTCTCTGTCTCCACGGCGCATGGGAGTTTCGGAATATATATATACCCTGGATGTTTGCGTTTATCTAAGTTGTATCCTAAGGGAGTGGATGGGTACAGAGTGTAATAATATCGATATAAAGGTATCCCTATCTCATTCTATACGTGTTCATTGTGCCGTCGAGGCTTTGATGCCACTGTCTCCAAATCTGCCTTGCATGCAAATCAAGGCTTGGAGTGTCTACGTACGTATACGGCTTGGATTAGTCTTGGGTGCGGGTCAATTCCATCCGTCGCTGTGATGTGCCTTCCAAGGGAAGCCAAGACAAGCAAAGCCTTTCAAGCACTGACATTTCGTTACAAATCTGGGAACGGAATGCAGATGAATACATCTTGGTGCCAAATGCCGCGTGTTAGGGCTTACACCTGTCATGAAACGGGCGGCTTGCGGAAGTAACCGGCAGCCTGTTGCGCTCGGTACTATTTCCCCAATGTTAACCTCGGGATGTGGAGAATTGATTATTGTCCTTGCGGCTTGGTACAGTCAGCACTAGGTAACTTGGTGTTTGTACTGTGAGGTGGCTGAGAGGTAGGAAATAAGATAGGATCAATGGCAAGGTTGGAAGCAATGACCTAAACAGGACATGATACAAAGGCAGGATGTATGGTAATAGTCTTGGAGTTCTTAGTACATATAAGTGCAATCATATGGTGTTGCAGCTCTCGGGCCGAATCCTAGGACATCCCTCTAGTGCCATAGCGAAAGCCAGATATAGTACATCTACAACTGTCAAGTAGATCTCTAGGATGATATATCATCTTGCCTACCACATATATGAGTTGGTTTCTTCTTGAAGAACAATATGTCAAGTACGATGTGACACCTGCTTCTAGCTTTCGCAGTGGCACTAGAGCAGCCATAGGAGGCTAGTGTAAGAGCGCCAGTGTATGGTAATACTGCATTGGAACTGTTGCTTACCTGTAGCAGTTTCGTGGGTAGTGTGAGGAAATACCAATCGAATCAGTAGTAATGGCTTTCATTTATCAAATGCTCATTGTGGTTAAAGAGTTACCTTAGTTTACTATTTCAATTATAATCAGTTGTCACATAAACGCATAAACGTGAAGGTGATCCGAGACCGTACGTTTTCTGTAGCTTATAACGCTACAATGTCTCCATTCGAGCCTGCGCGATGCCTTTCAGTTCAGTAGAGCTAGATTAGATACCATTGCTGGCGCTTGATGTACATGTACCTATTAGGGGAAACATGCTTTGTCAACACTAATACTGCCCACACTAAAGCCCATGTTCCCGCAACCTCTGCTCACTAGAAACTCAGAGCTTTATCTTCCTCTCTCTCGTACTCATTCTAGCGCTAGTTGTGCCAGCATCCGCCGTCGTGGAGTACCTATCAATATTCAGACGTTTGACAACCATCTCAAGCTTGCCATGCAGAGCAATGTTAACCCTCACTAACGCCAGGCTCAGTACCTCGGCTTCCCGCGCAGTCGAGCAGATTCTAGCGAAGTCCAAAATAATAGTGCGGAATGATACAGAAGTGATCTTCATGTTGAGATTTCCAGGACCAACGATAGTGTTAAAGTTGAAAGTGAAGTCGAAGCCTGGTGAGCTTGTGCCGGGACTGGGTTCGACGCTAATAGTTAAGATGCCGGATTTGTAATGCTTGTCGTTGTGTATGCTGTTCTAGCGTCGTATGCCGCTTTGATCATTTTGTAGGCTCTTGACTCTTTGAACTGGTCCATATGGAGCTTCTCCCATATTGTGATCGGAACCCAGTAGGGGTAAGCGAGAAGCC